GCGCAAAAGGTCATACAGAGAATATTACAATTAGCCACTGTTCTCTTATACATTATGTTTCATCAAAAATTTTAAGAATTAAATTTTTCATTAAAATTATCTCAAAGTAATTTCTAAAACTATAATTTTATAGATTTTACATCAAAATAGCTCAGGAATGTGATTTTTATCTTTTAAATGAACTCACATACTTTAGCTTCTTGGAAAATGAATTTTTGGCCTTGACTTTTTATCAAAATGCTCAGAACTTTGATTTTTCATTTAAGTTATCTCAAATGTAGTTTTTTCTAATATAATATTTATAATTTATTTTTATTCAAGAATAGCTCAGAACACTAACTCATGCCATAAAAACCTTGACTGATGTCTTCGTTCTGATCTCCACCTTGGAACTCACATAAGCACAATTCACATTTTTATGAATTGGGATGCATGGAATTATTCAATATACAGTGTAGTTTTGCCACAGGATTATGTAATCCTTTAGCATACTGACATAATCTAGTATGGCAAATTTGGACTTGATAACAATTAAAAAAATAACTTAATGTACCTCTATTGGTAGTATCATCATAATTTTCTCCTCAAAGGAAGAAATGTCAGAGTAATTAAAAGTATAGTCACCAACAGAGGTTAGCTAATAAACCTAGCCAGGCCTGACTCAATGTAAAAACTTTGGAACTAAGTGGCCCAGAAAGACCAGGAATCTCTCTCTCACTGGGGAAATAAATTATTTCTTATTTATTTTATCATGAAAGAGGATGCCCAGAAACTTGTGGGACTCATTAATTTTGGTGAAATTGCATTCCTTGCTTAAGAAAAAGGTGGGCCCCTATTACCTATTCATTAGAATTTAATTTTTAATGGTGCACTAAGCAAAAAGTAGTAATATGGCCTAGACTGCACTCCAACCCCTCAGATTACTTTAGATGGCATGTAAAATCGAGTCACTAAGCACCAGAACTCCACTGCTTGGTGGGGGAGACTTCTGGGGTCTAGGATGTAAATGCTGCCTTACAGATTACTCAAAGAAAATTGCTACTTATTATTGAGTTTAAATCGAAAGACATCAAATATCTTTAGACCAGAAATAGCTATTATATCTTGAGTAATGCAGAGAATAGACATAGAATAGAAATAATGAATAGAAAAAGAGATGCAACAGAGATCATTCATGAAGTGGAAATGGCATGTTCCATAGCTCATAGTGGACAGAAGCCTCGAGCAAGCTATGTGCATTAGCACATTGCTTCATTCCCACGGTGCTGACAATTGAGTGCCACAGGACTACCCTGCTTCATTATTATATGTCTAAAACGTATGATTGTTCCCCATCCAAGATAAAGCATACTGCTGAATTCACTGCTGAGAGTTCCCAGATAGCGAGTGATGTTTGGAAATGGTATGATATGTCATGATGGAACAAGCTAAAAAAAATCTGCACAATGGGCAAAGCTAAGCAATGGTTGTATAGAGATGGAAGACTTCTTAGTAATACCCTTCTAGGGTGTTTTTGGATATTTTTTCAGCTCTTATACCTTGTACTCTGTCTTGTAGCAGAGTAAGCCAGTGGGCCCTACATATGGAGACTGGAAAACACTCTTCAATGGACTACTCAGAAAATATGAGAATTTAGAAAAATAACTGAAGTGAGTCATACAGATTCCCACTAAAAGGCCAGTTGCTAAATCAGAAGAGGATTTGAATGCCATGGTACAGTCCTTAATCAGAGTCCTGGAAGTAGCCACCTGGGTTTATGAATTGAGTGGGCTGTGAGTTTCCTGACCATGCATAGATGTGCTGAATGATGACTTGTTCCCTGTCATGCACACAATAAAACCACAAGTGTAGAATAAATGTGTATCCAGTGCCAATAGAAAAGAAGTTACCTAGTTGAACTAACACTTCATCAAAGAAGATATACAGGTGGCAAATAAACATATGAAACTATGTTCCACATAATTAGTCCTTAGGTAAGTGCAAATTAAAACCAAGAAGACATACCACTATACAGCTACCAGAATAGCTATAATGAAAAATGCTGACAGTACAAAGTGCTGACAAGGATTTTGAGCAACAGAACTTTCATATATTGCCTATAGGAATGCAAGATGGTATAACTGCTCAGGGGAACAGACTGGAACTTTCTTATCTACCACATGATGCAGAGCTCCTACTTCTGGGTGTTCATTCCACAGAAATGAAATTTTTTGTTTTTACAAATACCTGTGTACAAATATGTATAGCAGCTCTGTTCATAATTAGTGAAGATTGAGAATGATCCAGATGTCCTTCAAGAGTGAGTGTATAGACAAACAATAGAATATCCATATAGTGGAATACTTCTCAGAAATAGAAACAAAACAAACTATTCATCAAGCAATAATTTAGATGAATTGCAAAGGCTCTCTGATGAGTGAGTGAAGCCAGCACTCTCAAAAGGTTACATGCTATATTATTCATTAATATGTTATTCTACAAAAGACGAAACTACAGTATTTGTTACCAAGGGTATGAGTGGGAGTAGGTATGACTAAAAGGGGCAGCATGAGGCAGTTTTTTGGGATAATACAACTGTCTGTATACTGAGGATAGTGGTGGCTACACAATCTATACTCGCATTCAAACTCATAGAGCTATATACCAAAACAGTTTAAATTTTAATTGATATTTACTTAAAAATAATATTAATCTGAGTAATCTTTTGAGCACTACTAGTCTTAGTATTTTGTATAAAATTTTGCACAAATGCTTTAAAGTAAATAATTAGAAGATACCTGAGATATCTGTTGCAACAAGATATTGTCTGAGGTCAGAAGGTGAACTGTAAGAAAAGGTGAACTAGTAAGCATGCCTATAATTCATGCCTTCTCTTTCCAGGATTCTCAGGAAAATGAAATGACTCTGGCCAAATATCCTTGAAAATATGCCAGTAAACAAACATAAATGCTATTTACCAACAGAAAAAGGGAATCTTTATCTGTGAAATACTTTTGGCAGGATTCATCTAGCCTAAGAAGCATAAAATAAGTAAACCGAAATTTATTGACTTATGGGGTATATTGGCTAGAGACTTTCATGCAAACAAATTATTTAGTAGGAAATGACAAGGAAATGTTCCATAACTAAAACTTTTCTATATAAAGGCAATATTCTGCATGTATCGCTTAAATATTGCATGCTAAATCTGATCCAGAATGCATCCCAATGCAAGAATAGACAAATCAGGTGGTTTGCTGACAGACTTCTTTCCCAAGAAAAGAATGCTTTACAAGCTTCAAGATGGCCTGTGTACTTTCAAATATTAAGGTTTGGTAGTGGGTAATATTTATGATACATGTAACTTTGGTTTGGCAGTTCAGTACTTTGTGTTTTCCAAACTATATAAAACCCTTCTCCTAAATGTCTTTGCTTTTTATTTTATTTTGTTTGCTTTTAATGAAGGTTTAATTATGCAGATTACACACAAGTCTGAAGTGTACATTTGAGAATGTATACACCCATGTAAAGAACACCAAAATGATAGAACATTTTTATCTGCCTCAAAAGTTCCCATCTAACTACACAGTTTTAATTTACATTTCTCTAATAATGACCAATATTGAGCACCTTTTAATAATTGCAATTTGCATTTACTCTGAATTGTTGATTCATTTCTTTTGTCCTTTTTTCTATTGTGTTATTATTTTTGCATCTCAACTTGTAAGAAATCTTAATGCATTAATGATAATGCCTTTTGTTATTGCATTTTTCCCAGTGTCTTATCATCTTTTGTTTTTGCTTATAGTATTTTTTTCATATAGTTCTTTTTAGTATATAGTAAACTTACTATTCTTTCATTGACTTGGGTTAAGCCAAAGTAATAAAATATTTCTCCACTCTCATCTTATAAACGTTTTCTTTTAGATTTTGCATAATTTTCCATTTAAGTATTGACCAATTTGCATTTCAAAGTGTATTAGTTATTTTATGTATTTTCAATAGGATGTTAAATTGACATAAAGAAGGTATATACTCTCATTTGTCATGAAAATTCTATTTTCCATTCTAGAGAAAAAAGTTATTATGTCCTTGATTTTTATAGTGAAAATGAGTAATAAAAGAATATTTACAATTAAAATTAACTTTAGAGTAATTCATGGGCCTTTGAAGATTATATATGATACAGTCTATTAAAACAAACCCCACCCACTCCGCACCTTTGACTGAAGACCATAAGCTCAATGAATATTTCTAATGATGTGGAAATACTATTTCCAAAGCATCATAATCTACTGTTGAAAATACTACATAACTCTTCCTTTAACAGCCACATTTTATTTCCCTGGAGTTCTCATCTTTTGATCCTTGTTTTCTTTTTTCATATTATTAGAATAATCCTACCATTTAGGTGACAAAAAATTATTCTGAAGTATGAAATAATAAAATATATTAAATATCTGAACTCTTGCCCTCGATCCTTTGTCAGAGAAAAGAAGGCAATTTTAATAATTGATTTTTTTTGAAAAAGCATTTAAATGCTATATGTAATATGCTATATTTATACTTTGTTTTCTTTATTTTTAAAAATATTTGTTGATATGCTTAAGTATTATTGTGCTTTCCCTTTCTTTTCTCTGATCCATTTTGTTTAAAATGTCTGTTTTAGCATACTAGGGTAGATTTGACAGTTGTTTATTTCTCATCTGTCAAATGTATTAAGATTTCCTTTGCTTTGTTAAATGTTTTTACAGACACTTTAATCTATCTCAACAGTATCCATCTCTATTTAGTCCTTGAAAATGAATCTTAATTTAGTTTAGTGAGGCAAAATACAAACAAATCACGGTGATCACATCAGGATTTCTCACTCTCCCCATACCAAGGGCAGACTTGAGGCATGATATTGCACGTTGAGAACAAGTGCAAATAGTTATAGTCATCAGGAAAATCTTTTACTCTTCTTAGAGAGAAAGGTAAGATACACTAGCATCATTTTCTGCATTTACTTCTTCCTGTAGCTCTGAATGCTTTCGTCTTGATGGAGCTGCAGCAGACATCTCACAATCATGGCAACCAACCAATTTAATCAGGGACATTGGCCATTCAACTAGCAACTTCCTGCTTATAAGGTAAGGAAAATACCTTTGTTCTCTCTTTTTTACTTTGCTCTCGATAATGTGAACATGAGATGTTTCATCTGTTAGGAATACATTCCACTGTCTGGAACAGAAAACCTGACTGATAGTCACTTAAACAAACCAGAGTCATTTGTCCTCACCTGACAAAAAATCTTTGGAGTGAGGAGTTGCTGCTTCTTATTCACTTTGTCAGAAATACTACCAGGGAGTCAGTATTTTACTGTTTTTCCACGTAGCCAACCTGGCAACCTTAGAAGGATAGTTTTCTCATACTTTATACTTTATGGTTACGAGGTGCTGCTCTAGTTTCAAGCATCATGACTATTTTTAAGACGGAAGAAGGGAGGCTGATCTTAGCATCAATTGTCATTATCTCTATGATAAGGAAAAAAAAATTACATATGCTTTTTTATATGCCTTACTGGCTAGAAGTTGTTACATAGACAATTGTAGCCAAAAGGGAGTACAGGATAGTGTTTATTTAGTTAGGAACTTTGCACTGATGGACATAATTAAGATTTTGTCCAAGAAAATGGGATTTTCCCCCCTATAATTGTATCCTCTAACCAAATATTCATTATAGACCTGATTTTATGTCATTTCATTGTTAATTCCTAGCTTTCCTTCTACAGCATCTCTTTATTTCTCAACTTCACTTTCCTAAGAGACTCAAGAGTTTTATTTAAAGTTCTTAATATATATTTTGTTATTTTCTGTATCTCATTTAATGCTTTACTGGAGCAATGTCTGTTTTAGACTGCTTCTTACCTCTGTTTCCAATCTTCAATCCCATTCCTCCTTTTTTTTATATTACCCTCAAGTGAGCAGATATATATATGTATATGCATGCCTATATATACATATACTAACTAAAATTTTCATGTTTTCTTGCTGAAAAAAGCACTAAAATATATTTGACTATACTAGAAAACTATAAAGTCTATAAAAGAAAATATAAGTGAGATGTGTGCCTTAAAAAATATCCTAACAAGAAACTGTAAATTTTGTCATGTTGAAAATGTTGGTATTAAGAAGAAAATACTGATTTTCAAATAGAACAGAATATAATTACTTTTACAAGTTCTACAAAGATGCTTCTTTTTCTTAGGGAAAGAATGTCAGATTAGGAATACAGAAATGACTTCAAGCATTTAAAACAGAGGAGAGTGACTGCAGGGAATTGGTCCCATGAGTAACGGAAGACCTGAGGGCCCGACAGGGGGACAGGGAGTTGATACAGAAAATAGTACCAGCAGGAAGACAGAGCAGAGGAGGGTGAGGGAGAGCTGAGGGACAATGACCTCAGGCTCCGTTTGAATATCTCAGCCATTTCCTGCCAGATTTTGAAATTAAGCTTACTGGGGTTGCAGACTGGGAGAAAACATAGTAAATAAACTAAAATAATAAATGGATTTTAAATATATATACTTAGATTTTAGAGAAATTCAGATTTAAACTCTCAAAATTTAACAAATCTTTCTAATGATATGGTAGCATTTTGATTCTCTTAATTCTTCAAAACAACAGGCAACCCCAAGAATATATTTTCAAAATTCATTTTATTTTTTTCTACCCAGAGGACATGCCTAAAAATGAATGAATTAGCAATGTTTTTTCCTTAACTTAAATCATTTATTCAGAAAAAAGGGAATAATATAAGCCCAAGCCAATTTTATGTAGTCAGTTAGCCATTGTAAGCAATACAATGTTAAATCATTATATTTACATTCTAAGCAATAAAAAAAATGTTTGTTTATGGGGAATAGTAATGCCAAGACACTGGAGGCTACTCAAAAGCTGAAATTTTTTTCTTTCAATATTTAGCCTATTTTTCACCCTTGGAATATATAATATTAATATACTACCTTAGTTCATAATTATCCATATTCTTCAAACTTGATTAATAGAAATTAAGTTAGTGAAGTAGCATTTTCTTCCAAAGCCCCTTATATATATATATATATACACATAGTTCATAATGGTAACTAACTTTATAACACCTTATTTAATCAAATATCTTGTATTATATGTTCTGAAATCAAACTGGAAAAATAAGAATAAATTGCTGATATAGCAACACTAACGTATTAATAAAACAAGATTCAAAGAATAAAATGTAATGTTTCAAAATTTTCATATTTTTAAAATAGAGGCTGCAGATATTTGTGGTAGTTCAAAATGGTAATGGTATTCTAAATCATTAAAATTTTAATCTTGTTAGATAGGTCAGTGAAATTGTGATTAAATGTATCAAGAAGCTAAACATCATATAAATCCTGATTTACTTTTGTCTTATGAAAACCTAGAGATGCCAGAGTAACTCTGAGCTCAACCAAAATGATTGCATAGATTTGGAAGAAATTATGTCCCATGAACCATACTTTTAACAATTCATAGTGAAAGAAGTGAAAAATGTGTGTTTGACAGAAAGATTATGTTATGGGATAAATTGTGTTTGCTCCCAAATTCATATTTTGAAGTCCTAACCTGCAGTATCTCAGAATGTGACTGTATATGGAAACAGAGCCCTTCAATAGATGATGAAGTTAAAATGAGGTCATTAGGATGGGCCCTAACTAATGACTGGTGTCTCCATAAGAAGAGAACATGAGGACACAGACATGTACAGAGGGAAGACCACGTGAAGACTCACGAAGTCACAAGAAAAAGATCACAGGATAATACCCCTATGATATAGATTCAAAATCCTCAGCAAAATATTAGCAAACCAAATCCAAAAGTATATTAAAAATATTATATATCATGATCAAGTGGGATTTATCTCAGGAAACAAGTGTAATTCAATGTAAGAAAGTTAACATATGTAATACATCATATGAATAGAACAAAGGAAAATAAAAGATCATCTTTATGCAGAAAAGAACATTTGAACATATCTAATACCTTTTAATGATAAAAAAAAAACCCTCAGAAATCTAGGAGCAGAAACTTCCTAACATGATAAAGGGCATTTAACATCATGTTCAATAAGGAAAGACTTAAAGTTATTTTTCAAAGCTCAGAAAGAAGACAAAGATGCTGTTTTCACCACTGCTATTTGACGTTGTCCTGGAAGTTCTAACCAGAGCAATTAGACAAAGTAAAGAAAAAAATTGGAAAAGAAAAAGTAAACTGTTTAAAGATAACATTACCCTTGTTTAGAAAATACCAAAGAATCTGAAAGAAAGGTACTTGAGCTTTTAAGAAAATTTAGCAAAGTTTCATGATAAAGATCAGCACACAAAAATCAGTTGTGTTTCTATAAAACAGTGATGGCAATTTGAAAAATAAATTATGAAGGCAATTACATTTCCAATAGCATCTATAAAAAACACAATACAAAAATACCTAAGAATATATTTAACCAAATGGAAGACTTGTACTTTAAAAAACTACAGAAGTGTGGCTGAATGAAAGATTTTAAAAAGAGCCAAATAAATGTAAAGATGACCCATGTTCATGGATAGGAAGACTTAATTTTATTAAGATATCAAAACTACTCAAAAAAATCTACAGATTCAACATACACCCTCTCAAAATTTCAAAAACCTTTTTTAAAGAAATAGAAAAACTAATGTTCAAATTTACATGGGATTGCAATGAGTCCCATATAACCAAAACAATTTTGAGAAAGAACAAAGTTTAGGAACTCACACTTCACAATTTCAAAAGTTACAACAAACCTACTGTGATCAAAAGGTTGTTGTACTATCATAATGTGTATATGTAGGCCAATGGAATAGAATGGAGAGCCCACAAATAAATCCATACATCTATGGCAAATTAATTTTTGAAAAGGGTTACAAGTCCGTTCAATAAGATCTGTCCAGTACCATCTCAATTCATCTTATAAATTGACATGGTAATGGACAGCTAGATTTCCACATGTAGAAGATTGAAGTTAGATGCCTTAATTCAAAATAGATTAATGACCCAAATATAGCAGTTAAAATCATAAAGCTCTTAGAGGAAGACATATGGAGGCTTGGCAGTCCAAACTTAAGACTGGCAGATCTGATATCTGGTGAGGCACCTGCTTTCTAGTTCATAGATGCGGTCTTTGCACTGTGCCCTTACATGGAGGAAAGGGTGTTGGAGCTCTCTGGGGTCTCTTTTTTAAGGGCAGTAATTCCATTGATGAGGGCTCTACCCTCCTTACCTAATTATTTCTCAATAGCCCTACCTCAAAATACCATCATATTGGAGATTAGGTTTTAAGGTATGTATGGGGGGACCACAAACATTCAGTCTATAACTAACTAAACAACAAAAAGACAAAGACGAACTACCCAATGAAAAACAAGCAAAAGACTTGAACAGTCATTTCTTAAAGAAGATATACAATGGCCAGTTAGCATGTAAAGAGATGCTCCACATCACTAATCACTAGGAAAATACAAATCAAAACCATAGTGAGATACCACTTCATATTCATTAGAACGGGTGCTATCAGAAAATAAACAAACAAAAATACAAGTGTTAGTGAACATATAACAAGAAACTGGAACCCTTCTTCATTGCGGTAGGAGTGTAAAATAGGACAGTCACTATGGAAACAATCTGGTGTTTCCTCAAAAATCTAAATATGTAATTACCATATGACTCAACAATCTACTCTTAGGTATGTACCTTAAAGAACTGTAAACAGGAACTCAGATACTTATATGCCAGTATTTATTGTAGCATTTGTAAATAGCCAAAAGCTGGAGACAACCCAGTGTCCATCAATAGATGAATGGGTGAACAGTGTGATATATACATACAATGAGATATCACTTAGCTATAAAAATGAATGAAATTCTATTACATATTACAACACAGATGACCCTTGAAAACATTGTGCTGTGAAATAACTAAGACATGAAAGAACAAATATTAAATCATTTATGGGAAATACCTCGAATAGACAAATTCAGAGACAGAATGTAGATTAGTTTTCTAGTGG